TCAAGCACACTTTCTTGTTCTGGTCTATACAAATTTTTTTTAACTGTAAGACATTTACTTGAAATGACAATGTCAAAAATCACTTCGATCAGTTTTTTGTAAGCAACAATAAAAACTTTTATGAATGTGAAATCATGCTATTACCAGAAACGATGACAACAGTTATTTGACCAAAATGGTCGATATATAATTCAATAAAATATTTATTTATTATAAAAATATTGTGGTTTTTTTTCACGGAAAAAAACCACAATATTATTATAAGTTCAGAAAGTAAGTATAGTTTTATTAGTTCAGAAAGTAAGTTTGTTTTTTTCTGTGAAAAAAAACGAACTTGCTTTCTGAACAACCCAATAATATGATTAAAAATAGTGGAGATGTCAGAGACATATACACAGCAGGCAGGATCACTTACAGAGATGATTGTCTATTCATATACAAAGCATAAATATCTTTAACTATATCTTTGCTTACTTCCAGAAATAGGTGGAAACCTTGCTACAGAACCTTTCCTCATTTCATACCATTGGCAGGTGATTAGCAGAGATAAATTTGCATGTTTGATGAATGCTATGCATCCTATATACCAGGGTTAGCCAACTTTTGTGTACATAAGATTTACTTTTTATCTTAAAAATGTGTCGCAATTGACTTGTTATCGTAGGCATAGTCTAAATGGCGAGGGAGAGGTGTGAAATACATACTATGTTTAGATAGGTAAGAAAAGCCAAAATTTAATTTAAAACATGAAGAAAAGGTACTTACATTTTAAACAGAAGAAAAATTGATACTCAATGTTGTCACTTTCAGGGACTATCACTTCACCCTTCCTCTCTCTACCATGTCCTGACCTACTCTTTCTGTCCTCTTTTTTTTGGTTTTATAAACCTTTGTCTACATTTCTTATTCCCCTTTTACAACTGTATGCAAATGGATTGTGCGTGGACTGACAAATCAGACCTCTGCATCCTCCCTCAGATGTGGTTATCACTACACTTGCATTCGGTTACAAGTGTAATACATTAAGTCAAGACATCACAAGTGATCGACCAAAATTGGCTTTACGATCGCCCAGTCGATCATGATCAACTTGTTGGCCACCCCTGCTATATACAGTGGTACCTCAGGATACGAAATTAATTCGTTCCGAAACTGAAATCGTATCATGAAAATGTCGTAAGTGAATCATTTTTCCCCATACAATAACATGTAAAACCAAATAATTCGTTCCAACACGAAAAAAAACACTCAAATTAAAGCTAAGTAGTACATTTAAAAAAACTACTTTAGTATAAAAAAAAACAACTTTAGTACGGAAAACACTGAAAAATGCGTTTTGTAGTTGTAAATGTATAAATAACTATAATAGAATAATAACTAATTTAAAAAAATGTAGTTTTATTTGCACTTTACCTTTGAGGATAGACAACGGTGGAGGTGTAAACTGGTGGCGGGGGAGAGGGAGAAGGGAAATGATACTAAAACTTAACTTACATAACATAATGTAACAATAACTTAAAAATAACTTAGAAAATATAAAGAAATTAGTGTTGTTTTATATATTTTTTAAAATTTTTATTCACTGCTTTTTGCTTTCTTTCCTTCACTTTCGCCAGCACTTTCACTGGATAGAGGTCGCTTGGTAAAATATCTATCCAAAGAGGTTCGGCTTTGCCTACTTTTAAAAATGTTTCTAAAATGACTTAGGCAAATGTTGTTACTCCGAGCAGCAATACGGCCAGTTTGAACCTTTTCGGAGTGTTTCTTTTCAATAAAATCAGTCACTTATAATACCTCAAGATTTCCTTTATCAAGCGAGATTCTTCCACGACGAAGCAAACACAGGACTGAGACCAATGAACAGAAGTGAATAAAAAAATGGCGCTGCGAACTAATGTATGTTGTATGGTGAGTTTTTGTTCGTATCGTGGAGCAAAAATATGTTCGAATTTCATGTCATATCCTGAAAATTTCGTATGCTGGGGCGTTCGTATCCCGAGGTACCACTGTACTATATACTATGCCATTAGAACTCTAACATTCATTTGCAGTGGTGTGTTGGGACAGAGAAGCATGGACTGGCATCATATTGTCTTTAGTAACAGATCCTGTTCTGTGAGAGAAAATGACTATCATGTTAGTTTAGAACACCATTGGTGAGTGCTTCAATCTTGTCTTTGCTATCAAGTGGCATATTGTAAGTCACATTGGTTACTCCTAGTAATGGTATAAGGGATATCTCAATAGTAAAAACAAGATTGAAGAACTCACCAGTGAAATTCTGTACTCTTGTTTTCCTTTCATGGCAGGATTGCAAACAGACATTTTCTAGCAAAGTAATGCTAGGTTCTCCACAGCTGGTGTTTCCTACAATGTGTCTGTCATATTGCCAAACATCCGTAGTCTTCTTACCCTTCAGATTTGTTGCCCATTGAGCATTTGTGGGACCAGATGGGATGCCAGCTTCAACCATCTAAGAGTATGAATGATCTGGAATGATAATTGCAATATTTGTGGGCAAATCTATTGCAAGATATACATGGCCTGTAAGCACAACCTTATTCCATATATCCAGGCAAGAGAAAGTCTTACAATGTACTAAAGGTTGCTTTAAATTGTATCTTTGTTATGATATTGAAATCATTTTTACCACCATCATTACATTCTCATTAATAGTTTTATTCAATTACAATGCCTTTTTCTTGTATAACTTTTTTGTCAATGAGTGTGTTACTGTTTTGATATTTTAGTTATATATTTAGTTTTTCTGTAGAAATCAACATAATTTCAAGATTTTTTAGAGCTGTAACAATTAATCATTTGCTAATTGTTAATAGTACTAATCGTGTCCTCCATTGATTAATTATCAAGTAATGTTTAATTCTCCAATAATTGGAGTAATTGGTAATTAATCTTTCCATTGGAAAATGCTACTACTATTTAAATTTAAAATTATGAAATTAATATTAAAAAATGAATAATGATTAAAAAAATAACTTTATTAATAATGGTATTTTAAGAAAATCACAATAACACATCCAATTCTGTTAGAAACTTCTAGCTTTTTGTATCTGTGTTTTTAAATTGAAAATGTTTAGAACATTTTTAGTTTGATTTTAACTAGTTTAACTAATTTGGTACTAATAAATTTTTAGAAATACAGTATGCATTTTTTAAGGGAAAAGTTCTGATCTCATTTATAGCCAATTATCACATCTTACCAATTAATTTTCAGCATCATCTGCTTATTTTTGAGAGAAAGTTTTTTCATTTTTAAACAAGTAGATTGTTATTACATTACCAGTTATTTAATATTGTTTTGTGAATTACATTGCACTTAAAAGGACGTCTGATAAATCTTACCACCAACTTCAATAACCAGTAAAAATGAAAAACTTATTAAACCAGTATTTTGATGATTGAGATGTCTGATATGCAAAAGTAATTTTGACATAGGCAATTAATTTATCAGTTAATAATAGAAAAAATGCAATCATAAAAAATATTAGACATTGCTTCTATTTTCTTAGAATAGCACTAGTGTAGAACTGCCAAGAAAGTATGTAATCCATATTAAAAAAGATAGGTTAAACTAAGGTTAAAGTAGAAAAAAAAAAAGGCTCTATAAAATCTAAATTTAAAATTTTATAAGCTATTGTAAAAAATACAATTATGTGATNCATTTAAAATGTTTACTTAAGTCTACAATATAAAAAATATAAAGAAAGCCCAATGAAAAATTCTTAGTTTTATTTCTTTTAATATTTTGAAGTATATCTGATATATCTTTTTGATTTTAGCTTTTTATTAAAATTTTGAACATAAATATTCATCTATTCCTGGCTTTGATTCTGTTATAAATAGAATAATTACCTGAAAATGAATATATAAATTTGTTTCTATTAAGATAAGATTTCATCTGAAATTAATTAACAATGGGTAAATTGTTATTATATAATAACAGTAATTAGTGAATTAAATTAATAGTGGAAAGTTATAAGAGAAAACATGTTACATAAGTGAAAAAGTCTTGAGTTAGTAGAAAATTTATTTTCTTGGTTTTAAAAATGTAATGTAATCCTTGTTTATAAAAATCACTATTATTATATCCAATGAAATATAATAAATGATTTCAAAATGTAATCTATATTTATTTTTATAAAATTTATGAAATTAACATCTAACAATTATATCAGTCAAATGCTAATATTTAAAAAGTAACTTTATTCTTTTCAATTGATTATAAATGACATTATAAAAATATCATTTATAAAATTTCAAATCAAATAGTGTAATATTTTATTAGTTTTAATGAAATATTCTTTAAATAGTTTTAACTTTATTTATTTTAAGTGCCTTCAATCAGTAAATGTCTTACAGGCACATCAATAGTAATTGTGTTGGAAATATTGATGACTGTAACTTGGGATTAATGAGTATTAGGAGTTATTTTATTTATTTAGTAGCAATTCTGAGTTCTTTTTTTTTTAACTTGATATTAGATTACTCTTACTTCTTCCCATATAACTATAATTAGAATAATAATAATTATTATTATATAAGTGGTTTGAATGATGTTTTTTACAAATTTATATTTAAAGATTATGATAAAATTCACAAAGGTTAACTTATTAATTTAACATTTTACAATCCAAGAGTAAATGAAAATGCTAACTATAGTCAATTTTTAATGAATGTTATGTAATTCATTTACTGAAACTTCATTATATTTTTTTTAGTATAGAATTTATTTTTTAAAGGATTATTATTCATCATGTTACAGATTTAAATTTTTATATGAAATATTTCTTAGAAGAATAATAGCATTTTTATTAAAAAATATTAAATAATCTATGGTCCATTCAATGGACTACAGATTATTTAATATTGTATCATGGATCATTTCGTGGACCAAATAATATGATCCATGAAATGTTTAAAATGTTTGAAGAAATATTTTTGATTTAAAATCTAATTAAATCTATATGCTTTATTGATAGGAAACAATTTATAGATTTGTTTTTTGACATTTTAAGAATCTGAAGAAATGCCTCAACTGTTAAAATAACAATACTAATTTTTTCAGAAGGTAAATAGATTTTAATTACTATTACTATTAGAATAGGTATGCATTAATAAATATTAAAAATTAAAATTACATTTATAACTAAAATATAATTTAGTTAAAAATTAAAAATTTCAGAGTCATTAACATTTTAGTTATTGCAAAGATATATTTACTTTGATATAATATTATTCAATTTATTAAAATATGCATTTATAGCAGATTTTCTGCTATAAACTGTCTATAAAATAATTTATCTTGTCTTTCTATGTTTTCTGCCTGAACATTGATTCTAAGCAAACTGTTTTATCATCTATTTCATAACTTCATAAATCATATATTGCTATATTGTATGTGACTATTCTTGATAAATTTGTTGTAAATAAAATGTTTAATATTAATCAATCATTGACTAGCTACTTATAAAAATATGAATAAAAAAATATAAAAATGCATACATTCAATTAAATAACCTATTTTGCTATTTTGTATTATTTGTTATAAACACAAATTGAATACTTCTCATTTGAAATTGAATGACTAGGGTTTAAGTGAAAAATAAATTGAATGCCGACATTTACACTATATAATGATTTAAAATGTATTTATTTTCTTTTATATCTATTTAACACTTGTTAAAAAAAAATCTATATTTATCACATCTAAACAAATCTAAACTCCTGTAGTATTTTATCTATCTTCTTTCTGACATCTAATCATTCATTTTGATGATAATATTTTGATATAAATAAATAATGATAAACTAATATTAGTTTCAACAATTTTAGGCAGTTTACAAATTTTCACTTATATAATGTTTGTTTGCTTTGCATCAATTTTTTATGATCCATTAACTTTTATTCCAAAACTCTTAATCTAAATTCAAATTTAAATAAATTCAATATGTAAAATTTATATTTATGAGAATAATATATACCATGTCAAAATGAAAATTTTATTCAAATATTTGTACTTGTTGCCCATATGTCCAATTAATCAGATTTTACTCTTTCAGACACAAGGTTTAAGTGTTAAAGTTTTAATAAATAACAATAACATTTAAAAAATTGTTTGAAAACTAAAATATGCAAAGTTATTCTATAAAAATTCTATAACTTATTTTCTTATCTACAATTTTATGATAAAGTTAAATGGCTTCAAATATATTAAGAAATATAATTTAATGACTTCCAAAATTCATACTTGAGTGAGAAAATTTGGTTGAAATATACTACTAACAATACATAATTTAAATACTAATTGTTTTTGCTAACTGCTTTAATTATTTATAATAACAGAACGAAAGACAGAAGTACATAGAGATGGCAAATTTCATCAATAAGCAACAGGCAATGCCAAGAGAGATGTCTTGAAGGTAGGTTAATATACTACAGGTTAATATTATTTGCAAAGAAAGAAAATAAAAAACATAAAACATAATGAAGATTATTTTTAATTATAGACTACATATTATTGTTTTGTCATACACTCATTCACAAAAAGTTACACAGCCAGATAGAATTGTCCAAAAGTGCAAAATTTGACACACAGCTGTCTCAGACAGGTACATAAATGTGTACAGTTATGATATGACTATACCTGGTAATACCACTAGAATGCCTTAAAATTATTACCCCAATATCCTATAAAAAGGGTTGCATAGGCTCACTGTGTTTAGGAGTTTCAATGTATCCATTGTTTGGAGGTCTTTGAATGCTATGTATGTCTGTATGATGTAATCAGACATTATGCACAGCTGACAGTTTGAGAAAGGCCACATCATCAGGCTGAGCGAAGCAGGTTGTTTTTGCCAAATTGCTCACTATATGGGCTGTTCCGATCTGATTGTATTGGGTTATTCGGAAAGTAAGTTTTTTTTTTACCACTAGATGGATTAGTCGTATTTTTCCCATCATTTTTATTCTAAACCATATTATCATTATATATTTTGACAGGTAGTATTTTAAGGCTTTATTTGTAAAGAATTTTGTTTGATTCTGTGCAATTGTTTTATGTTTTGCGTCCCATCAAATATTGAAGATTGAAAGCATCATTTTTGGCATATTTTGCTTTTTTTTTAACCTAAAAATTAAAATGCTGTTCAAGCAAGAAAAAAATTGTGGTACATGTATGGAGATGATGTGTTAAGAGAAAGACAGCGCCAAAACTGGTTTACAAAATTTCGTTCTGGCAGTTTCAATATTGAAGATGCACCACGTTCTGGATGGCCAATTGAAGCCAATGAAAACAAAATAAAGGTACTGATTGAAGCAAACTGCCAAATAACAACACGTGAAATCACTAAGAGATTAAATTTGTCAAAT